TAAATTTCGCTAATACAATATGAGATATTTCTGAATTCACTTGTCAGAATCAGTTGTTTTCAGGTTTAAAAAAAACACGAAAGAGTCTTCATCGTATTGTTGTAATATAATATCATAGTAACATATATACTAATAATATAACATTATAAATAACATTATAATTTGAATACCTGTGTAAAAACACTTCAACCTCAGGGCTAATGCTCGTTTTTTCGATACTGATTACAAGTCCTAGCACAACGACCGCCAATACTCCAGATACATGCAAGATTCCCTCGCCAATGTAAAATGTCAAATACGTCGAAGCCAGTGTGATGGTGATCTCGGTCAGAGCATCGTTAAAAATGTGCGATAACCACAGAGTTGTCAGGCGTGCCATAAAATATCCAAACAGTGGACCACAAAATGTAACACGAAGAAAGTAAAGGAAAATTTCCAGTCCTAAGAAGTGAAAATTAAAAAAAAAATAATATTGAAAGCGTTATTTGTGTAGAAAGAAATGCGGCGAATTATTGATTACATGCACGCATGCGCTAACTGTTATCGCACGTACCGTCCATTTCTTGTCCGGGGATGCTCATTCGCTTAAATACTTCGAAGATAACAATTGAGCACCCGTCGTTCAGCAATGATTCACCCTCGATCAGAGTACCTAACTGTTTTGAAGCACCTATGAAAAAAACAAAACAATTATTTTTAATGAGTTGACGTTGTTATTAGTTATTGTACTTGGGTGTGGTGACGTCAGGGATTCTATGGTACCTTACAATACTATCAACCGCCGCTAATGGCGTTTCTCCTCTGCTTACCGAGATCTTTCAACAGCGCCACCACAGCTACAGGGTCAGTCGCACTCATAATAGAACCGAACATCATCGCAGTGGAAAATTCCCATTCATACGAAAAGACGTACATAGCCAAAACAGCGGTCAGAACCGATGCCACCATCAATCCGAACAGAGCCAGAATGCAGATCTAAGTACGAAAAAAAAAATAGAGTAAAATATGTCATGCCAACGAGAATGGACTATGACTACATCGCGGAGGGTATTTTTCCTCCGGCCACAGACGCATTTCTGCAAATATATTAATGTTCGGGAACAATCCTTTATCATATTATCCATATACATAAGTACCGATAGTTTTCATTAAATTCCCAAAAGCAACTCCATTGACTTTTCTGCTATGATTGTTTTAATCCGAATTTGTTTAGTCGTATTTTTATCCTATAAATGTTTAGATTTAAAAAAAAATCGCAGAAAAGACAAATAGTAGAATTATAAAGATGTTGACTGACCTGTACGCTTGATTTCATAAATGTATGCACATCCATAGCGAATGCTGATTCAAAGATAAGTACGGGTAGAAACACGTGCAATATAAGATGAGGATCCATATGTACCATAGTAGTATACCTAGCAACATAGTGAACGTTGCTCGAAAGAAGACCGATCAGCACTCCGACAATTAACAATACTACCGTATAGGGGATGTTGACTGATACCTTGTTGAGGATACTACGGATGAGCGCTGCAAAAAATGGTACGCTAAACATAATAGTGGGGAAGACTTCACTAGGTACCTTTTGTCCAATGTGACAACCCTGTTCATTGTTTTATCATTCCCGATCATATTCGTGCACGCCTCTTTTGACGCAATTGTCGAGTGTCTTACTACTCATCTGCATATTACAAATTTACTGAAAAAAATATATTTAAAAAACAAATCTGCCTGAGATTTCGTGTTCTGTTACTTGTCTATCATACGATCACCAATATTATTTAAAACGGGCATCAATCAAGCACTTCTCTTCGATATTGGAAAATAAACATGCTGCGACATTTATCCGCTTTTCAGAGAATCGTAGGGTTCGTTCAATTTGATTTTTCTGTTAATATAAATATAAACTACATGATTCTATCGAGTTTCTAAAAAAAATGTTTAAGAATAGTGGGTTACTGCGACCCAACTGAATAAACAATAACACTCACATGAACTAAGATACGACAATATACATTGCGCGTAGCGGTATTGATTTACGTGATAAGGGATGGAACATTAGAAACTCCGGGGCTATGGCAGAAAAATTATACAAAACTTACCACCCATCGCACAGCAGGCAAACAAAAAGAAAATGACGTAAGGTGGGCCGCCATAAACGAGATGGTCGTGAGGATCGTGAAAACCCTTCACCGTAACATTGTGTGTTGTAGAGTTGCCTGTGTAGTTCCAGTTTAATGTCAAGTTCCACGGGAACCCAGACGCTGCTGGCGGTACTATCGCCATTTCCTCACATTCACTGCGACACCGTTGATTTTAAAGACGATAGCGTACTAACAGGTGAATTGTTAACTAAAATACTAAACTCGAAATCGAAAAAAATGTCTCTATTGTCTCTATTATTGATATCAGATGATGCCAAGAATAACATTATTTGCATAATTTCGATTGTGGTTGCTTGGTTACACCGGGCCATTGTATTTGGATGAGAGTCTTCAATCTCGAGATCACAGAGGGAAAGTGTAATGACAATTTGTAGAGAAAACGGTTGAAATTAGTACATGAACCCATACGAATAAATTATATATACCACCCACGAATTAAAGAACATCGAAGCGTCCCAATGCGCTTGACACTGGACGAGTTTAGTTCCATTGTCGTCATGGAAGCTGTGTCCGCATGTTCCGTACGCTGACTTCAAAATTGGTTTCCGCTGTTTCATACCGGGTGTGCTACAGTCGTAAACTATAAATTTTCCAACGTAACATTTATTTATCAAATATCACTCTGCTTACAATGGAAAGTCATCGTTCGAACAATGACAGCGACCCGCTCCCCGGATTTGATCCCCACCAACGTTTTGTGCGCACTTGTTCAGAGACGAACGTTCAACCGCAAGAGGACCGTCTACTACACGCGCGTGGAAACCTTCGAATAATGAGAAAACGTTCTACGTTAAGAAGTTTTAAAGATGTGCTTCAAAAACAAATTGAGAGACTTCATATGAAACACCACCAGATCGACGACATTTTAAAGACCGAATTGCTCAATTTCAATAGAAAAAACGATGACGATTTTGTAACAACGTTAGCACAGAACACAGAACCAGGCGCCGAACAAATTGCTAACTGCGAAGTATCACAAGACGGAACAACAGATGCAGGTCACAGAGTTCGGTTGTTGGAAACTGTTACAAATATAGTCAATAACGTATTTGCAGAAGCTACAGGTGACACATCGACCCCCGGTATTACCGAACGTTCGTCACTTACCGAACTCGGCCGCCAGCTCTCCAATATTTTGCTTAACGTAAACGACGACTGTCGCGACAACACCCATTTTTATCTTAACGCCGCCTCGCACACGTACATACGCGAAGAGCTAGTGTTGATTGAGATAAAGCTGTCAGAAAACAAAAAAATGGAAGTGGAATTTTACGAGTTGGTCAAAGAAATATTAGAGGAGGGCGCATTATTGGAAGACCAATTAAACTACGACAAGGAACTGTGTACGGCAACTAAGGAACACATACGTAACGAATTGACGACTACTTTACACAGACTTAAGGTATTGTTCATTTTATTTCGAGATGTGTACATGCTATATACATTTTAACAAGACCACATTTCGTAAGGGAAACCAGTGAACGCTGTATATTGTAATAAATGAAAAAAAAACTCACTTTCTAACACCACATTATTTTTATTTTCGGTTTTTATAATATACATACCACATTACAATCTGTATTTAGAAGAATATCGCCTACTTGAATTTTGAAGCACATCCGTACAATCCTCTTTCCCTATAAATCACGCCCTCACAGTTGTCGATTTGTACAAAATGCTCACGCGGAATTAATTTAGCAAAATTCGCTTATCAGCAAAAATAGCGACATTCATACAGTACGTCATTTTGACGCCCCGTCACTAGAGGGCGCGATATATAGAAATGAACTGGAATGAACGAGCGTGAAGCTAGCCTCAGATTCAAAACAAAATACGAAACTCAGTCCGAGGGTAGCTTCACGGATTTCTCAAATTGCACAATTGAATGTTATTTCACGACTTGTCATTTCAGGAGTATCCTCTGATTTCGTCGACAATCAGTACACACATTGTTAACGTGAGTGGAGCCATTGAGGAGGTTTGGAACATGGCTGAACGGATCGGACTGTTGCAGGGGTTACGGAAGTGCGAAACACAACTACTGAAAGTGGCTGACAAAATTGAGAGCATTTCGCATAATGACTTGGATATCAGGAACCGTTTAGACAAAATAGAGACACTTTTAGCAAAGTGAGTGATCATGTGATTGTATTATGATTTACGGACACCAGTGTATCGTCGGGATTACGTTTGCACGTCCGAACTTTTTATTAGTCAAAGCCCGTTCAATATGGATAACTTTGATCACTTTTTTGACATTTTTGTTCAGTACTATTGTATTACGATGTATCGCCACGTTGCAAAGTCGATGTAATACACTTGATGTGGTTCATGTTTCAACTTAATGAATACGATACAATTCTTTTATTTCTTAGTGCACGTGGCAACTGTTCGCCTTTACTGGAACAGGAAACACCCGCATCTCTTCCCGTAGTTAGGGTCAACGATCTAAATTCGACATTGGAAAGCCAGGAGGACGGTGGCGGTAACGAAATGCTGAATCAACCACATACAACATCATCATTGGAACATCTCGGAAATATAGTATTCAGGTCACTTGCACTACATCTGCTAGAGTTTGTTTTCGGTGTGGACGCTTCTAGTGAAGATGACCGGTGCAAATTACAACCCGAAAACTTAAACAATGGCCCGCATTTGATTACAGGCGATAACTTACAAGTTACAGAGTGGGCACAGCGAGAAGACGGCGATAGTTGCGTCATAGATACTAGCCCCACTCGCGATAATAAATATAAAATAAGGGAGTTTAATTCTTCGCCAGAACATTTTATAAAAGTTGAGAAATGCGGCGAAAGTTCTGAATTGAAATGTACTACTACTGATAGTAATCGTCTTCCGGAAATGTGTTTTTATGACGCGCGTAGTGAAACTGACACAGTAGGAACGATCCGAGATTTTAAACGGATCTCCGATATTGACACAATACCAATACTTGATCGATACAATGGCACAACACTCAACCCCACCTACTCCCAAAAGTGTGACCAAATAGACGTTTACAGAACCAGATCTTCCAAATGTTTGACATTTCTCGATATATTTGCTATTTTATTGTTCGTAGTGGTTTTCATTCTGATGACAGTGAGCTTCATAGGACCCGGTGACGGATGCCTTGTCTCTAAAGTTTTTGGTCAAATAATTGTCATAGACTTTGCGCAACTTGATCATTTAATGAAAACGTGGAGATATGTATCTATTCGCCATTTTGGTCTTCCGCCTTTATGACTTCTTTTTTATTTTAGTTTATAATAAACACATTTGAAAATTAGATTTAATAATACCATCATTATTCCTTAGTCATTATTTTCGTCTTTGAGAATTGAATGCAAATAAAAAAAACTATACACGACGGGCAAGCTGATCTTGAAGCTGCCGGTCACGGTCACGTGACACACATCAACTTTTCACTTTCGCATTGGTGGAAAGTAAAATTGGCAGTCCGTTGTGTTGGATCGTCTCTGTACTAATTACATGAAAGTTGATACAGTTTCGTCAACCTCTAACTGGTCTGTCGCGTTTTCCACTTCCATATTTACCATCACACCAATTGATCGACAAGTTTTTGGTGAACCTGCAAACAGAAAGTACGGGTACTCGTGAATGGACAGTTATTGTGAATCCGTCGGTTTTCTGTTTTCGCTCGTATTTGTAAATAAAACGTCATGCTGGCGATTATTCGTAATTAATCCGATAACAAAAATGTTTCTCCGAAATATTCTAAATCGTTAAATTACCTTTAACCGGAGTTGTTTCTCTCAAGGTTGGATGGTCCATTACAAGTGCTGTAAGATCGAATAGTACAAAGACATTTAGGCTTAATCTTTTCTATAGAAAGCGCCATTTATCGACGAGGCTCTTTGGTAATGTAAATAGGGAGACCTATCGGAACGTCGCTATTGTTGTATCTGTAGTTGTCAGTTTTTGAGATAATAGCTGTATTTTAAAATTACAAATAACTACAGATCTAACGAAGTCATCGAGTTGAACGACCCATCTAGCGTTCAAGTCACACGCGCTACGCGTGCCTTCCTTACCTTGGTTGTCTATGCCGTTCATACGCACGGTCTCCACGCCACTCACAGGCGAAGTCTCTGTACCGTTCACAGGCGCAGTCAATAAAGTCATCCCCATACTGCCCCATCCATGACCATAGCTCTCGATCGGGTACGCCGGCTCACCGTGCTTTGGAATGTCAAGACCTGGGAAGAAGGAGAAACCGGTGACCGTTATGGCGATGGTGTATGATTACATTGAGAATATCGTTCGTAATTATTGTTTCGACTCATGATCATTGGTGAAATAAATAAAACAACGAGTACTGAAATACGAATTACCGTTAACCATCATTTTGCCATAGGTATCACTATGATTTTATATTTTAACCTTCGAATTTTCGTGGAGGGTCGTCACCTGCAGTTTGTCTCACCAAATGCGTTGCTTACCTTTTAATTCCAGAGTCGCTTCTACTCGTAATATTCCGGCAAACTTCATTACACCAAATAATAGAATGGAAATGATAGCAGTCCAACCCATGATCGCAGCAAGGCCAGCAAAGTTCCATCCAAGTGCCTTGAGTAAAAAAAATCTTATTAAATTAGAAATGTTGTTGTATTCATCTTGACTAATCTGTCAGGAACAGAGACTGCAAGTCCACACGAAACTATCTAGTTAAAGCACCACAATTGTCGCGCCGCGCCGAGTTCAATACAGGTCCCTTGGTATTCAGCCACGCGCAGCCCGACGACTGAAGCGCGTTAACTAGACTATGTGTGCATGGTAGTCAATATATAGCAGTGTATGTCAATACCAAAAATTATCAAACATGCATCCATCATGTTTGTACGAGTCAGACGACCAATGACTTCATCGAAAACACATGCTAACTCCCGTTTCAGGGAGAACCTTTCGTATGTGATCAAGTTGTTAAAGTGAAACTACATGTGAACATCGACTACGGCAGTTTAGCAAATTCATGTGTACACATTGTTTTGCTTCTAGGGTGTGCTAAAATCGTGCAGTCGACTATAGCACGTGTCTTTATGCTAGAATGGTAAAACGTCTACCGTGCAAGCTGTTCGGGAAACGTTTCAGTCAACTGACTGGCATTCAAGCACCAGAATGTTATAATGCAACATTGAGTTCTGATGTGCTACTACCCCAGCTGCCTTAGTCTGTTTTTCCGCTTCGCTACCAAAAATAGAGAAAACAGACGGAAGCAGCTGGGGTTCTATCGTATTGTCATTATAGTTTTTGGCCCTGTGCACACTGTATATATATATACAATAATGGTAGCATTAACCATGGAACTATGGGGTTTATACTTCCATGCATTAACATATAGTGTAACGCTAAAATGGCTACCGTGGCAACACTAACATTCTGGACATTCTAGGTGAACGTGCAACAATGTTTTTGTTTTTGCATGCAGAGGACTGGCACTGTGTCGTTGTCAAGGTCATGTAACGTACAACACCCCTTCATCAAAATCAACCTTTGAGGTGTAACTCCAAGGCATTATTTCACGTGAATGCACATACTACATACATACATGTGTATGAAACACAACTGATCAGCTTAGGCAGTACGAAACGTATTTTCTTCTGTGTCTCGTTGCATTCAATGGTAACGACCACACTGCCCCGCGTATACGTACAGGGGTAAACTTAGACGTTCGAGACAAAAAGAAACACCAGTATTTCAATGTCGACTGGGTTTCTATCGAGTTTGGGAACTCAAGTGTATGCATACGTATAACGTTACCAGGCATCGAGGACATACATAATATTAATAAAGAGATAAAGTATGTATACAACACTCGGGTTTATTTCTAATTACGGTATCCTTTTTAGTAGCCGTGTTGTTATGTACAGGACGTCTGAACCATAAATTATAGAAAGTCTAGTATGATGACGCACGAATTGTTAGGAGACTGCAGGTCTCTTGTGTTTATTTTTAGATATCTACTCAATTTGTCACAGATAAGCCATAGCTCAAACCTACTGTCAATCGTCCCTACTCAAGTAAATTTGTTTATCTTCATCTGAATTACAAGGCAGCAAAGTATTGTGAACAATGGTGAAATACGACCATACTATTCTCAGTGGGGAAAAGTACGGACGTGACATAGGGCTGGACATACTAAATAATCTCGGGCAATAGTGACGTTTACTGACCTCCCATGATAACGGACTTGATATATTGAACACGATACCAGTGTCCACTGCGAGAATCGGCGCCGATAAAACGCCCCACACTCCACCACCCATATGCACTGAAACACAATAATAAGCGAGTTATCGTAAAATATGTTATATACACCGTTTCTCTAAAAACTTCAATTCCAAAATTGCAACAATTCCGTACAGGAATATCGAGAATCTGCAGATTGATGTTTTCGTATTATTTGGAAACACAACAAAGTTTGAAATTGTATGATTACCAGCAACAGCGTCAAGTGGATCATCAATTCCTGCTTTCAGAACAAGCCAGCTGACAACGATGTATATAATACCAGAGAGGACTCCAATGATGGCAGCGCCCCAAGCATAAACACAGCAGCATCCGGCACAAATTGCGACCTGAAGACAACATAAATAAATAAATAAATAAATAAATAAATAAATAAATAAATAAATACTCGAGCGGAGTACAGTAGTTGTGTACTAGTATCCTCGGGGGCGGAGCTACGTCACAAGACGTTCCACGTTGCAAAGACGCGCACCACTGTACATGCATTTCTATGGTCTCTTTTTGCGCTGCTGAAGTAATCCTGAACAACCAAATTCATATATGTTACACACGTAGGGCTAATCTTGTTATACTGTTCAGGGGAGTCTCAACCACCATCCCAAAGTACCGTTTTCTGCGAGTTTTTGGCCTTTGTTTTCACCGCCAGGGTTGCCAAGCGGTGAAAATGCCCGGATGTCCGCGCCCGAGGATATACATAAACCTACCATGCCTGTGAGGGCGCCGTTTATGGTTGTCAGCAAACTCCACTGTCCTCCGCCAGATAATCCCATTCTTCGTATTGTCAAAGATGTTAACGCCGCTAGACTACCAGATATGACGGTATTGACGATAGCTATGGCGACCACATAACCGTCGCCTGGTTGCGATATACTGGCCTGGGATCCTCCATTGAATGCTAAAAATCCGAACATCAGAATGAAGCCGCCCAGAGCAACCAGCTGGTAAAAATCAATACCATAAACAGATGTATAAGTTAATATCGAAGTTCGGAGAAAAGCCATATTGAGAATAGTTTGAGGCAGAGTGAGGCAGACGGTTTTTTTTCAAATAAGTGTCAATTATTTTTTTGTCAAATCACACTCAGCTGGCGTGCACGTGATAACACAATAAATGTGATCTCTTTATTTAGTTTCTAGCCATATTCAAGATGTTTACCACCATATATAGTAAATATCGGTAGATTAATCACATTTATTTCATTATCCCTTGTACGCCAGCTGACTGTGTATCAAAGCGATTGGAGAAATCCTAAACAAAAATACAGTTTCCATGTTTACTGCTACTTTAAGTAGCAGCCATTTTGAATAACACTTATTAATAGGACGTTTCATTAAAATGTACCAAATTTAATGCAAATAACCAAACTTAAAATCTTAAAATAACGGTGACATTTTCAGCTCACTTTCTCCACACATACTTACCGGTACTGTGTGTCCTGATAAGCCAGTGACTGGTTTGCCATTCTCAAATCGACCAATACGAGGTCCAAGAATGACCGCTCCGACCAGTGCAGCCATACCACCCACAACATGGACAACACCACTACCAGCAAAGTCCTACAAGTTGTAAAGATATACGGAATCATTCTCGGTTCATACAGTCTGTCTTCGTCGGCCAGGCAATGGTTCACGTTTCATTCACCCCGGCCACTCAAAGTTCCTTTCAATATTTTGTCGTGTATATATATATATTATAGTGTGTGACTGGAAAAGTACAATGTATGTGTTTTGCTTTTTTATGAAGGAATTGGGACTTGATTAAGTTTGCATCAGATCTTTTTTGATAATAATATGTAGTTCCATATATGTAGTTATTGAATGTCTCTCCTGACGTGTTGGTATGATTGCAAGTGATGACGGTAAATATAATCACTGCTTCGATGTTGAAACACCACATCGATTATAGACAACCTTACTCTAGTCGTTGTGTCTTTAGAAATATTTATACTAGTAAATTCTACATTTCAAACCGAACCGAAAGATTTCTATTTGCTCAGGCTGATTTGGGTTTTTCAAATGATGTCACTGTGCACTGTTTTCGTTGATTGGCTGTTTGGATTCAGCTGCCATTGGAATTTATAAATATTTATAAAGATGAAGAGAATGCTTTTTTTTTGCGTCAGAGTATTCTATTAATACTTACAAATGTATTATATAACGTGATACCCATTTATACAATTCATGGTAATCGTAGTATTCGGCAATTATTAAATACTGACTATGAGCCATCATCAATTGTATATTATGAAACAAATTTATTTGTGTCAAAAGATGGACACGTTATGTAAATGCAAATGAATGCATAGAATGGCCATGAAGAATAGTTACTTCTTTTAAAATTTAGGGTTGTGCTATTTATTCAGATCGATTTATTGTTTTTATATTTATTACACTTGTTTTTTTTTTCTCTTTTTTTGACTACTAGTAAAATACAAGTCTTACTTTTATTGATTTTGTATTACCAAATTCAGTTTTTGATGATGAAATGTTTGGTGAAACCAAAGCCAATATAAAATTATTCCCATCGTTGCTATTGAAACCCTCTTTTCTAATGTTGCTATACCATCTTTTACTTAATCCACCGAGCATAGTAGGGTTTACGGCTTAACTACAATGCTTTAAAAAAATTCTGTATTCTTCAAGTAGTTAATAAAATGTATTGAACGTTTTATTTACATCCGCAACTGGACTGGCTATAATCATTCTATTTTCGGTCTGCCTCTGCATACGCACTGTGTTGTCGTTTTCAGGGTCGTGTACGTATTCACCCGGGTGACGTCACGGCGATCATTTCGATTGGTCAATGGCAGTTTCAAATTTGTAAATATAATATCATGTTTACAATCTGAAAAATACTGGAAACGGTTTTTCTGAAAGCGCTGTAGTGACAGTAGCCCGAAGTTAAATGTATGTAACCGGTATATAAATATATTCATATTCTTTTGTGAATAACACACGAGAATATGCAAATGAAATCAACAAAAAGCAATGTCCCGTTTGTTTGTGTAGGTTTTCAACCTCAACCATCAAACTTCCAAATTTTAATAAAATTATGAGATGAAATTCCGGATTTCCATCCATTCCATCGCAAGTTAGTCACTTAAAACGCATTGTGAGTCGTCTCACAGCGTGTAAACAATCCGTGTAACATACACGCGTTTTGCAAGTCGCTGGGACTCCTATCGAAGACCACAACGACGTATCGCTTTGATGCGCCACGTCAGAATTAAAAATCGTAAATTGTTTATGTAAATCATGTTTAGATGTGCCCGAACAAAAGACAAAATATCATCATCTCTGCGGTTATTACTAGAGTACAGGTAGATAGCATACCTGATAAGAGATCCCATTCCCGGGTCCAACTAACAGCCATCCGTTATCAGCCCACGCCCAGTGACTCACAACGGGGTACACAAAACCTGGTGAAGTGGGTAGAAATAAATGCTTTACATTGAATATATTAGATAGAAGTACCATTGTCCACCAAACATACCCAACCTTTATATAAATAATGGTACACCAAGAAGACGAGTTACTATGGCAACGGATCAAACTCCATTGTCAAGCAGCTCCTTTCATTGTTATATGTCTGATGACAAATTTGTACTTTCATTTTATTTTTATTATATCATGGTGTAACACGTTTTACTGACATTCCGGGTATTGCAATTACATGTTTACGTGTTGGGACGGATAGATGGTTGAACGAGAATACGTCAGTTAGAAAATGTACTTGGAATTCAATCGCAATTGAACACAATATCCTTGGAATGATTTTATTTTGCATAAATTATCTATTCTTATAATAATGTATACATTCGGGCCGGTGTGTGCTGCATATGAATACATTTATTATTATTGTTGTTATTTTTTATATAATACACTGATATAATGACGTCACGATGACGTCACCTACCTGTTATAAGAAAACTGTAAATAAGGTATGCGGCAAACTCTGTTCGTTCAGCCATAGCACCAGAGACAATCGTCGCAGCAGTTGCCGCGAACACAAAATGGAAAAACCAATGTGACATTAAAGAACGACTGAAGCCTTCGAAGAAAAAGTGTCTGTACCCGATGAACGCATTGCCTCCCCCGAAAGCAAACGCATAGCCCATGGCCCAGTAGGCAAATGCGCCTAGCCCTGAAATGAAAAAAACAAATCAGGAACATTTTATTTTGCAAGTAAAAACAACCACAATCTGTTGTACGACCCACCACATCGCAACACACTGGGAAGGGAGGGGAGGGGTACTCACATGGAAAAGATAGGCAAAATAGTAGACATGAGCCAGATTTCGAAGAACTAAAATAGTTTTTTGGGCCGATTATGGACAAATAATTATTGACCAATTTTCACCAAAAAATTCTTTTACCCCCCCCCCCAAGTGTTCTTTAGTCATTTGTCATACTAACATTTCAGACCAGTTCGGTAGACTACCTGTCATTGTTTGGGTACTCTTTCATTGCGACTACCTGTGGCGAAGTTGCAGCACTCATTACGCGCAAGTGGTAGACATTAACATGTATTGTCCGTGTTGTTTTCGAAGCTAACCTTCCTAATTTATATCCATCTGTCCGAACTAAATCAATTTTAATTAAGACTTATTATTCATGTCCAGGGCCACGTACATTCATCATTGGTTCTTTGAATAGACTTGCGTGCATTGCAATTAGTCTCCCAATCAATCACAGTCACACACTCATGCGGAGTGATACATTGTTAGGTTCGTAGGTAGTCAAAGAACTTTACCTACAATCCGGTCAATAATAACGAAATCACAGATCGTTTGTGAATATTGACAGTTATATGCGCTGAAATGTGCGCACATGCCCATTATGCAGGTGTAGTACCTTTTATCCGTGCAATTATTTTGTTTTCGCATGAAATATTAAAAAAACCAAAAGCACTAATAAAAGTTGAAATTAATTAAACATAACAAAGTCTGTGACTGCTGTAAACAACATGCATGTCCATTCAAAACAAGTTATAACTGTTATTCATCTCATTAACATTAGAAAAGCTCGTAATCTCGAGCCATATGTCACCAGCAATCAAGGGCAACGCCGGACGATACTTACATACATCAAGAACGTTCTTGATTAATATATTCGTTGTATTTTTACTTCTAACAGAGCCTGCTTCCAAGAAGGCGAACCCACATTGCATAACTACAGAAAAGATGAATTATTCAAGGTTATTTCGGGATGAATGGATCGATGTATTCTAACAAAGAGCTCCCTGACCGTATGTTACAATGGACCATAGACTAATTCATTTCAATACATAATTTCATTGCAATGGTCAGCTACATTTTATAATGGCGTTTCACGCTAAATTACGATCGTTTTTCGAATTACGACAAAATTAAAATATTTGTCATACTGTGGTACAATGCAACAATGTAGTATGTTAAGTATCGATTCACAAACAGGTGCGTACTCCATGTACTACACATCAGTTGTATAACCACCGTGACTACGACCACAATCTCTGTGAAAATTCGCTAGTCTTTTTTTTTTTAAATTTCGTATCCAGTGGTTGAAAGAGAAAATCTCAAATAGTACATATGTCTCTCATCGCTGGATACATTACAATTCAATAGGTATTGATACTTACAGAAAACTAGACATGCCATTACCAATAGAAAAAACTGATCAGCGTTGATCTGTAGGGCGGACAAGTTCGCAGAAACGCTCTCAAGCTCAATCCCCAACACAGTCATGTTCGTATCCATAGTAAACAGTATTTTTTCCAGAACTTAATTTTCATAAAATGTATCGAACCACGAGGGCAGTTGGAAACAGTAGTCTTAAATAGTCAGATGCCGGTACCTTTCTGACGATAAAGTACACCGTGCCCATCAATGATTTTGTATCACCGGACGATTACATTCTTTTTTAAGGAGGGACGGTTACAGTAACTATGTGTCGTCGCTGTGACTATTGGTGTGCCACTGTGTGTTTGCAATCGTTGCTTCAAAATTAGTGATATTTCTAAGTATACGAGCAGCCGATGCCGAATATTCAAACACCGATACATTGCCAAAAACAATAATAATGTTGTTAAGTCCTCGGGTGCATAGCCTTCCAACCTCTAGTATAATGGTTTGATCTACCAGGTCATTCTTTTGTTAGTGACGCGGGAAATCCTGGATAATTCATTGATGTCACTTTCTCTACGCGTGGACAACTGAGTGGATTCGGCGTGTTTAAAAGTATGCCCGGTGCATGCCTGAAGAAGTTGGATGAGTGGCGAGCAAAATTTTGCTCACCAATTCACGTAAGAAACCATTGTCGTAAACGATGAACAAATGTATTCATTGAAGAAGATTGAGAGTTGAGTATTTGAAATCGATGGGGGGGGGGGTCGCACATTTAATTCCCAGAAACTGTTTGTTTACTCTTTATTTGTTTTCAATTTAGCTTTATAGAGTGACTGTGTTTATATGTATTTCCATAGTTCATACCACGTTTTAAAGAACTCACTGACTTTGAAGCGGGGATGTCGTCACCTGCGCGTGCGTCAGATGGCCATAGCGTGTCATTGTTTACAAACACGCGTCCACCCATGAGCCTTTGCGTTTTTAGCGTGTGTTGTTATCGTCGCTTGGGACTCAATTCCCGCGCGTGCGCAGGGGACGACCCTCCCGCTTTAAAATAGTAATATTAAATACTGACTCTTCTGCATCCCCCCTTTAAATTGAAATATGGGCCATTATATTGTTCAAGAAGATATTTTGTTCTACTACGACTGGGTTTCTTTATCAGTTTGGTGACCAAATTCTGCTGACCGATTTTTCCCCATCATTTACCTACACTCATGTCGAAACAATTTGACATAAAACAAATTCATCGGGCATACAATACAATTCTAAGCAGCACAAATTAAGGGTACTTGGAAATGGGTTTATCATTCATTTTCATTAAAATCGGTGAGGACATTGTTTATCTTATCTATATCAAGTTACGTCATTGAGGTTTTAGTGTGCTTGACCGACACCATGACTGTATTAATATATACCGCCGTTGAGCTTCAAGCTGCCTTGCAACTTCCACCTACCTTGCCGATTGCAACAGTGCTCGGAATACCACGTCTCATCCTTACCCCAAAACACGTTTTCTAAGAACCCCTATTCAAAGCATTTCAGGGTGTAAATGACCTAAGCCCATAAGGAAACGTTAAACTTGGTGGAATTTATATTGATCGTTGCTTATTTCACATTATGTATTGTCGAATATTTTTTCAACATTTCGCGTTTTTCACAGTGCGTTAATACACATTGTTAGCAGCGGCGACATTTGCCTCGCTTCCAATATGTCACCTTCGCACGGTCACCTTCACGCGGTCAAACCTGGTGATCTTATTCAATAACACCGCTGTGTCTCTCATCGAACGCAGCCAATGTAGCGACGGACGATGATTTCCCACATGGCAGTGTTTATTTATTTAATGAGGTCACTTTTGGGGAACGCAATACGCAATGAATTGTTTTAGTTTTAATTAAGTTATTCCATTGATATTTTCAACCAAAGGTACCAGGTAAATCATTATGGAGCTTGAAATTTGTTTTTACTTTAACGTTCACTATAATATCGCTGGTAATAATTGTCGACAGTCAACGCACGTATTCCGATTCTATTATATTGTATCTAGGTTAGGTCAAGGTCAAGGTCGAGGTGTGCTGTTAAAGTAGTAATGCCCTACAGTATGAAACATTGTACTTTTATCCGCCAAATTGTTAGGGGTCATTTCTGAATCAGTCGTCTAAACTGTTTGTGGAAGCTTTATTGATTTCTCTACTACAGAACTTGCGTCACGCGTTCGTTAAACGTTGTCGCTACACAGTGCGTGATGTCGGTAATTATTCCGATGAAACGTCATTGTTGCAAATTATCCGATTAACCCCCCAGACTATTATTTGATTACTAGTCTGAGGTTAAAGCGGAGGGATTGTCATCTGCGCATGCGCTTATTTGTAAACAGCGACACGCTATGGCGCAGGTGACGCCTTCCCCTCTTTAACCGTATTTTTCATGAGTAACGGAATTATTCCCACAGCGTTTTCATCTGTTAAAAAAGTGTACAACAATGGACGATGATATTAAAAATGTGGAAATCGAATTCAAAACGTCATGTCTAGTTGTTTTTATTAGACAATAAATAGATCATTACCACAGGCTGAGTACGAATATGCCCCCATTCGCCCGACCCCCGGAACACCAATCGAGTGAAAAGGGCGCCAACAAGGGAATGTTGTGGTTTTGCGCGCACCCGACTGGTAAAATCAAGAACGCTCCTATCGATAAAGTGACGACGATGTCCGTATTAACCTATATTGCGTTCTTACAATAGAAACTGACCAAGACCACGGGAAAATATGAATTGACATTGAAACAACCGTACTATAATTATAACATAATCCCATTCCAATGAAAACATCTGGTTCTATGATGGCCTCGTTGCAGGGCACAGAAGGTGATTATATAATACAGTCATCCGAATAAGACACGGAGCAAACGGTGTTCAGTACCAGGAGAGAAACGGGTTGTCACGTGACTAAAACTCAATGAAAGTTCAACAATGCATAATACGAATACTGTTAAGGGGTGTGTCAATAATAGATATACTAATATAGAACTGATGTCACCTTACCAGGGTGCATATACTACCCGCACAAACGTTTGACGTGACCTGAAACAGTGACATGGCACAACGCTGTTCCGCCGTGACTGAACAGCGAGACGAATTTATATTATACTATATTATATATATTGTATATTATCATTATCATTATCATCCTGTTTTTATGTATTCCAGTAGGTATCGAATTAACCATCTCCAGCGCATACTGTGGAATACTGTATTTTCGCTTGGAATGAATTTTCGCTGAAAAATGATTCAGTCAAAATAAAACCCAGCGAATAAACCTTTTTTCCTATACTAGTATTTTATATTCAACTTGTCATAAATCAGCCATCAATTTCAGTCTATGTCTCTTGTCATTTACTTAGTTTAGTCAAATTAAGTGCCTGTAACAAATGAAATGAATTAATAACAGTGTTTATTCAAAAACGTTTCGTCCAAATCGTTAATTTTGTCAGCTGCGATGCTTCGATAGGAAGTCCGCTGTAAATTCTTCCGATAGTTTCAATGGACCAGGAATCATAACGCTATACTTTTCGGAATATTTACAGAAAAAAGCCAAACATTGTTTTCTTGTCTGATCTTGTCTTAAACCTTCGGTAATCGTCTTACGAAACCAATTTACAGCAATTGTAGCAACACTGTCCGGATTGCTTTCAAATCTTGTTGCAATATTTGTTTGCAACTTTGTAAGCAACTAAAATAATGTGAAAATAAACATCAAGTATACACTAATGACACATTTTCTCGCAGAATTTCAGACTTTTGCAACTCGGACAGTGTTTCTGCTATAATAAATTTCAAAGTGAATTGATGCTGGTTATATCATGATAGCAAGACATATTTGTTCCACCTAATAAGCGCCCTCATACGCTTACATCGATGACAGTGAGCTTCTAGCCGCGGAAGGCGCAACTTCGAACCCATGTTATTTTATTTGCATCATGGCATATCGACGGTGTATAAACTTTCTCACAGTTAAACACAGCTGTTGACTGAAAACGTCATAGGATTATGAAATTGATCAAAATTACGTTTTTCACAAACATTATAACCAACAGAAATGAGTCCAACTTCGTTTATAAACGTAAGTAATTACGTTTATCGTTGCGAATATCTATGTTTTTTATAATATTATACAAACCACATTTTTAGAATACAGCAGTTATTAACAAAATGCTATATCTTTATTCAGAATATTTTAAAACTATTAATTTTTACTCAACACATATAGCAGCCTGGGTGACAATATTCCATGTCAAATGAATTATTAAAGTATTAGTCAACAGTATGTGAACTTTTAAAAAATCATTTTTAATTTATGTTTAGAAAAACCGCCAAATAATATGCATACAATAGAGATTTAGTAGTGGTTATCATGGAGCACACCATAGAAAACTTGTCGTCGTTAAAATAATCTCTAACAGTTATATACTTTGTAATGCTTCTAGAAATGAATAAATACACGGTGACCCCATGACATGACATGTCATGATATATGTAAAAATTACTTTATATTTTTACCATAGGGTATCATTGTACCCTAAAACAACTTAAAGCGAGGGAGTCGTGCGTCAGATGGCCATAGCGTGTCATTGTTTACAAACAAGCGTCTACCCATGAGCCTTTGCGTTTTAGCGTGTGTTGTTATCGTCGCTTGGGACTCAATTCCCGCGCGTGCGCAGGTGACGACCCTCCCGCTTTAAATAATGTTCTTGGAGTCAGTGGATAAACACAATTAAAGTATGACATGTTAGAGTATAGACCCGTGAATAAAGTGATGGTTTGAAGCAATATGATAACATTTAAAAAATACATAAAACAGTAAATAGCGACCGTTAAATGACGTAAAATAAAGTTTTAGTTTGAAAAAAAAAATATTTTAACTGGAAAGCATTCGGAAAGCGTGGACCTCCACCACATATTATGACATAGACCTAGTTTTGCCTGGTGTGAAGGGCAAACCCTTCCTAAAAAATTATAAGAATTCATCTATAACATTTTAAGCTATCCTGCTAACAGACACACAAACTAAAGCTACTGTTAAACATAACCTCCTTGGCGTGGGTGATTTCATTATATTTTAATGTTGAAAATAATACATTTTTAAAACAAAAATTGCTGTAGCAGTTTAAGTTAAAAATTAATAATTGAACCTGGTAAAATCATGCTATAATTAACGCC